CTGTTCGGTGGCTCCAAGATGGCCGCGGACAACCCGAAATGGCCCCCTGCAGCATTTTCACTCCCTCAGTAAGCGAGGGGAGGGCGCGGAAACACTGACAGGGGGCCATTTCGGGTCGTCCAGCGGCCATTTTGGAGCCACCAAACAGCTGTTCGGCGGCTCCAAAATGGCCGCCGGACCAGCGAAAACATCGCTGGAGGGGGAAGTTTTGGTGCCTATTGGAACGCATTAAACTAAGTTTAATGCGTTCCAATAGGCTTTTCCTGCCCCGTACAGCGATGTTTTCACATAGCGAAGGTTAATCTGGAACGGATTAACCTCGCTATGCGGGGCACCACTGTACAGTTGTACACGCTGTATACTCACTGCTTTACATTGTAGCCTAGTGTCATTTATTCAGTGTCGTCACATGAAAAGATATACTAAAATATTTATGAAATGTTAGGGGGTGTACTCACTTCTGTGATATACTGTACACTGTGTAGACTGACACCAATGGCTGTGCTGAGTGGGGATTATGGAAGCTGTAGTCTAACACATGCAATGAAATCCAAATTGGGGAAGGCTAGTCTAAACAATGGACATACTGTAATAACTGTTACTTATTTGTGCAGGATTCAGCAATAACACTCAAGGGGCACTTCTGTCTTGACACAACTGTTGTTGGGCTAATATAATTTATCCACCACTTCCTGTATTGTTGTGTTTGCAAACACTCCCTGGAATACAGTAGCATGAAATGTCCTGAATACTGCCCAATTCACTGTAAGTGATGCCATAATTTTTTCACTTTACAATTTTTTCCTTTTTTAGATGTTGAGTGCTCCCTTTTAGCATAACTCAAGTATAAGGATACTTGTGTAGCACTTTTAAAAACATGACCAAAAAGCTTCATTAAAAAAGCAGGGTATTATAAAATGAAGTGTAGAATGTACCAGTTCAGTGTTCTAACCAATGAGGCATAACCTATTTCAGGTTTTTCCATTCCATTTTCTCTCTTCCATCTGGTTTTCCTCCTAAAGTATGTTTGACATTTTGTGAATACTCAGCTTTCCACTAGACTGTTTCCAGCAGTATTTTGTCCAACTGTGTTTCTCCCTTGATTTTTTTGTACTTCTGAAAATCCCTGACAAGGGATTATAAGGTATACGGAATTGTATTATAAGGAATTGTTAAGGACATATCGACCAGATAGGTGGGATATAAATAGAATAAATAAATAAATAGACATGCTCTCATCTCTTTAGCACTGAGGTAAATATCCATCCATGCCCAATTCTCAGACTTTGTTGATAAAAAACAGGTATCCTATAAATCAGCTAAAAGTAGGCCCATTAGAATCAATTGAACTTATGGAGGAGTTAACTCACTACATCCACTATTGAAAGAGCCTACTCTAGTTCAAATTGCTACAATAAGCAACAGGCTTTCTGCCATTGTTGGAGTGAACTCTAGAATTGATGTATTTCATTTGGAGGGAAACATGATCTCAACCATACACTCGAGAGTTTGGCAATGCACATCTCCTGTTTGGGTTCTAAAAGAACTGCAAGAGAAACAGATTTTTTTTTTCATTTTCAAATTTTATTAGAAAAACAAAAACCCCATTATTATCTGGAACTATCTGCTTCTCAAGTCGGTATTATTGCTACAGATGACAACCAGATCTGTCTTTAATTCACAGACAGCCCTCCCACATTTATTTATTTAATTTAAAATATTTTACTCCAAGGCAGTTCACATCATTAAAAAGACTATTCAAAAGCTTTAAAAAGTAAGCATACCCATATTAAAAAGAATTAAACAAATATTTATAGTGTTTAATAAATTGAGAGATACTATAGGAAACCCACTTAATACATTTACATCAGTGGGAAAGTGAAGCTAAATGTTTTAAATTGCTGGTACAATGGCCAGATCAATATGAGTGAGCAGCCATGCTAGACTATAAAGTTTCCAAATAACTGAAACATGCTGCCTGTTCTGCAGATTCATCTTATCCTGACAACAGTCAGATGGGATCTCTTTTCACAGATGATTCTGGAGGAACTGGCATTGAACAAGGTCCTAAACCCTGCTTGAGAATCATTACATACACAATCATGCCACATGTATCTGTTCTTGGCACTTAATTAATGGTTCTGTCTTTTAAGATCAATTTTTTATCTTGTTGTGCATTTGCCCTTTAGGCCCCTTCCCTCTCTTTAGGTAGTTTTCAACATTCCAATCAAAGTTTTGTAGGGAGCACTGCTTTGGTGTGTTAAGTGGAGATAAGTCGTATTCCTTAAAGAGGTCTGGTGAAGCCTGCTCGCTGACAGGTTGGGAGTGTGGTTGCTTTGAAGAAGCTAATGTATTGTCTCTGCTAGTCTGATCAGTAAGCAGTGATGCTGAAGAGACATGTTCTTCCGAGGCCAGCTGGAATAGCCTGTCACTGTCCGCTAAAACATAAGGGGACCTTTTTGGTGTGGAACATCCATCTCTCCCAGGCTGCAACTGAGTACGTACATACACTGTCACTGCAGCTGTCTGACAACTTTCAAACTGATCAACATTGTCCTTCAACTGATGTTTGGTAGATGTCACAAGTTTAGACTTCAATGGAGAAAGAGTTCTCTGGTTCTCAATGTCATTCTGGTTCTCCATTGTTTCTTCTTGTTCCTTCTTCCACTGAGAATGGCCAGCACACCTTTCTATAGAGTAAGGTACAGATTTCTTTATAGACTCTAGGCAGCTCTGCTGGGAAACTTCTGTATCAGAGTCATTTTCAGTCTCTCTAGTACATTCCTCTAGAGAGTCAAAGAAAACTCCCTTGGGCACATGATGATAGTTTGGTGCCTTTTGCAACTTTAAGGTGCTTTCCCATTTCTTATTGTTTTGCATGAATCTTTGCACTGATTCAGGAACTTGGGACTCCAGAACTGAGTAATTCCCAGATTTCAAGTATTGTTGGAAATAAGTCTGACATGCCTCACGTTTTACCACTGGGATTATGAAACAGGGCTTTAGCCAAGATACAAACTCCAGCAACTCTGGGAAAGAAGAGTGGTCTGAGTAAGGAACAACAAAGACATCAGGGTGGTTGATCTTCACTGGCCGGCTGGTAGGGAGAATGGCTATCGTTGGATGATGTTGGTTCCATCTGAGCATAGTTGCTTGGCAGATTTCTGAGAAATCCACAGCATGAATCCAACCAGCTTCTTCCTCATAACTGAACACATCATCCATTTCAAGCAGCTGCATTAGCTCTAGCTTCTGGGGACTCACTACTATCCATGTTTGGAATTCTTGGGCCAGTTCCACTAAGAGTGACTCCTTCCCCAAGCTGTAGGTACCTAAAAGAAAGCAAAGAAGTGTATTTATTAATTTATTTTTATTAATTTATTTTTATTAATTTATTGTATTTATACCCCGCCTATCTAGTCATTTCGACCACTCTAGGCGGCTAGAGTGTAAGCATTTCAAAGGCTAGGTGGTTCCTTCAACTTGTGTAACAAAATGGATTCAACTGTTATTGCTACATCAAGCTCAAGGCTTTTGGCAGAACTGCTGCAATTTAGGTGACAGCTTCTTATTTCAAAGTTAAAGACTCCAAGGAACTAGAATACTACCCCTTTCCTTGGTGGGCTCTTTCTCCACTGGTTCACACTGCTCAACACAGCAGTAAAATTACTACTGATAACTAAATACATTATCCAGGTTGTGTAGATTCACTGAATCTTTCAAAACAATTTATTCAGATGCATTCTATTTTCCCAGCTTATTCTGGCAGAAAATATACTTCAAACTACACTGGGAAAAACTCAAATTGTCTTGAAATCATTAGAACTATTCCACATCTGATTTGCGCTCTCTGGTTAGTTACTGAAAACTCTGGCCCATCAGCAACTAATTCCAAGGATTCTCAGGTCAATGAATCTGAAACCTTGCTTTGTGAAAACTTCTGCATGATCCATTAAGGTGGCTTACCAATCTTAACCAGGTGAAAGGGGTGTTCCCTGATGATCTTTTTGATCTGCTCTGTGGCTTGTTGCCGGGACGGTAAAACAAGCTGAGGATTACAGTTGGTATTATCCAAATAGAGGATGTTGATAAGCTTTGCATTCTTCAGAGCTGGTTCTTGCTGCATATTTGGAGTGTAACGGAAATCACCTGATGAAACACAGATATTGCACTGCTTACAACAGAAACAGCTGCTTGAAAGCAAAGCTGAGAAGATAGCAGAAGCCTGAGCTTATGGTTAACGTTCCAAACATAGAAGCTAAGAATAAAGTCAGCTTCTTTGATCACTAAGGCAGAATGTCATGCTGTTAAGGTTCTTAGTTACTTTTATAGAACTCTGAAGTGTAAAATGCTTAATCTGATTTACCCTTGCAACATCCTCGCTTGGCTCACTCATCAATGACAACCCATTAGTTCCCTACAGCTACTCCTAATATTGTAGGTTAGAAGGGCTTTCAGTGATGCTGTCCCACACTGAATCTAGAACTTTAGCCTAAACTCCCTCCTCCCCACACCTCCTGTTCTCCAGATATTACACTCCAATACCTTTAAATGATATTGGATTAGAGAAGTCATTTCTGGTTACTATGTTGTAATAACTTTCTACATCAACAGAAGTGGGAGGCTTCTATAAAGTTCTTGTAGAGCCCAGGGTGCCTACCATCAAGCACCTAAAGAGGTACCGTCAAGGAGATGTGATGAGAAACAAAAACCTAGGGGGCAATATAACTGGAATAGGGAGAAAAATGTCAAGTGAAATCTAAAATGTGAAATCCTTGTCTCATGTAAAACAAGAACTTTTTACCTGTGTAGAGAATGACCCCAAAGTAGCCTTCAAAGAGAAACATAACAGATCCAGGACAGTGGTTAGCATCTATTAAAGTCACTGTCATGGTCTCTCTGCCAATTTCATCCAAGGCCAGGACATGGCTTTCTCCCACTTCTAAAGGATGGATCCATTCCTTGGCCACCTACAATCAAGATGAAAGCACAGAACGGTCAGTGGTTGACTCTCTAATTTTTTTCTCTGAAGAAGAACATACACTTGAATCTAAATGTACCTTCAGCCGGAGATGTAGAATCTGGCCAGTAACAGGAGAACAATAAATGGGTCGATTCCAGGTGCTAGATAATCCTACTGTATGGTCAGTGTGCATGTGGGAAAGAAAGAACAAGCGAGCATGGGTAGCTTTTCTGATACTCCAAAAATCCACCGCAATTGGTGTGCCTGCAATCAGTGTCCCATTCATCACCCCAGCTCCTGCAAGAACAAAGCAAAGAACTGAATACTCTTTCTGTAATAAAGCTGAAACATTAAGAAGGGCCTAGAATACAATTCCATAGAACCCTTGACTCAGAACAAAATTCCACTAAACTGCTAATTAAACTTTATGTAGGTCTTATAACATGGCAGCAGCTTTCTAAATAATAATATAGTGGTTAAACTAAATTTATAACTAACGTGGTGGGTTCAAAACCCTGTATTAGTGATGAAACCCATTGTTTAGTGTTTCTGTTTATGTATTGCAAATTAATATCTGGTTTTCCACCAATGAACTGAAAAGCGCAATACAGGGCACTTGGCCTGACTTTATCCTCCCACCACAGGTCAGGCTGAGAGTGACTGGCCAAAGGTCATTGAGTTTCATGGCCCAGTGGGAACCAGAACCTCAATCTCGCAGTTTCAACTTTCTAACCAATTCATCATACAGCCCTGGTGAGTCAGCTGCTCTCTGTCTACCTTACACCTCACAGCACTGCTGTGGATACAATGACCAGAAGAACAGAAGAGGACTGGTGGCTCATAAAGTATGTTCACCCACCTTTCCTCAGAGTAATGCCCCTTCCTGGTCTTGAAAGCTATATTCCTTGGAGACGGAAAGGATAAAATGTCAGTTTTTGCTAGACCACACAGCTGTTAATGGTGCATATGACAGAACAAGCATCCAGCTAAATAATTTTTGTGTGTGATGTGCCATCCAGTCTGAACTGACTTACAGCCACCCTAATAAGGCTTTCAAGGTAAGATAGCTGTTAATGGTGCATACGACAGAACAAGCATCCAGCTAAATAATGTTTGTGTGCGATGTGCCATCCAGTCTGAACTGATTTATAGCCACCCTAATAAGGCTTTCAAGGTAAGATATTTAAGGAGTGGCTTTACCAATTCTATTCTCCCTTCCTCCAAGTGACTGTCTATGGCTGAGGAGGGATTCAGATCTCAGGTCTCCCGAGTCCTAGTCTTGCCACTGTGTCTACTACACCACATTGGATATACCAGCTAAATCAGTGGCTCCCAACCTTGGGTAACCCACATGTCCTCAGACTGCAATTTCCAGAAGCCTTCAGCACCAGTTGTACTGGCCAGGTTTTCTGGGAGCTGCAGTCCAAGAATATCTGGATTACCCAAGGCTGGGAACCATTGAGCTAAACTGATATGATTGGCTGCAGTCTTCTATTTGATCCTACAACAGAAAAAGAAGTTACATTCCCACTTGCCTTCCTATCACACAGAACAAAATGACTATTATGTATAAGGTTCCATATGAGGTATCAGCAGTTAAATAGTCCTTAACTGAGATCTCCTTGAATGCTTCTAAATGCAAGTGAAATAGTATATGAGGATTGGTCAGCTCCAGATGTTTTACTGCCACTCCCATCATCTCTCACCAACAGCTATGCTCAACAGGACTGATGGGGGTTGTGGTCTAATATCTGGACAGCCAAATGTTCCTCACATACAGATCACAGAAGCATGTCAGTCAAAAGTATGCTTTGTGAGCAATCCTACATGTACTTAACAGATCTGAGACTGAGACTATTTAAAGACTGGACAACACATTCCCCTGAAGAATTCAAGTTCAAATAGAACAGTAGTAGTGAATATGATAGAAATCATCTTCTAGTTGATTTGTGTAACATTGTTTACTGAGCAAATATGTTTGGTCCACATGTAGACAAAATTAGGATACCTGCAGTCAAAGAAAAGGCTTGTTCCAGATAATAAACAAATTAAGAAAGCAATGGTATTGATGTCAGAACCACAAGAACTAGGATTACTGTGCCAGATGATTCTAATGTGGCAGCTCCATACTATAAGGTTTGCTCTAAAATAATCAGAAATTAATGATTAACACTATGGATTGAGAATGATGAAGAAAGGTCGGAAGATAATCAAGAGGAAGAGCACGCTGGGGCAGGAAGTAGAGTAGGGAAATGTAATAACAAAAGGTGTAGAAAGTGTGAAAGTCACAGGTTTGGAATAAAGGGAATGGGTCTTTCAAAGAGCAATACTAATGCACAGGATTTTTCCAGATGTCCCATATGCCAAAAACTGCAGCCGGGCAGCACGATCCTAATAACATGCCTTCCCAGGAGAAACCGTTAGGGTTTGCGATGTCAACCCTCTACACGTCACTGAACTCCCGCTCTTTTGAGTCACTCCGGGGCCAGCTCTGAACTTGCCCGAGACTCCCTCTCCCTTCCGCAACCCGGGATGCAGTGAAGTCCGGAAGCTTACTTTTGCAGGCCCGTGGCGTGGGAGCAGAATGGGCGGATCTCCTCCCCTCGAGCTCAAAATGGCTTTGTTAAGGGGGTCTCTTGGTGACTTTGGACCACCCTTGTGCTGGATCCCACAGGGCTGCTTCCAGCTCCGCTTGTTCTGTTTCTATGCTATACCAGACCTTCCCGCCTAAACGGGACAAAATAGCCGCTGAAGGCAGTTCGCCCATTTCCACCACACCCAGGCGCATGCGCAGCCGCCAAACGAAAGTCTTCCGCCTCTTGCTGGTGGAACTCTGCGTAGCAGGAAAAAGTGTACCGCGTCCCCCTTTTCTGAGACGCGCATGCTCTGTTTTGCCCGGCGGGGATTGGGCAAGGGCACATGCGCAGTACAGTTGTTTGAAAACTAGTCCTCCAAAACCATTCGGATAATAGCAGAGAACTAAAGTGTTGAGTTAGACGTCCAAAATTAGGCTGAGAATTACATTCTCTGTGATAAAATTTCCTTTGTTCTTTGAGGAGGATATGAGAGCTGCTGCCAGAAAAAAGTGGAAGCCCTGAGATTTTAGCATTGCTGTCGCAGGGCAGCGGGATGTGGTCCTTCCCATCCAAAACCTGTTAAAAGCAGTACACAAAAGGTTGCCCCCCCCCCCGGCGGGGAAGGCTTGCAGAAGGGGTAGCCGTGTTAAGGCTGGGCAAGCATTACAGGCAAAAGCAAAATAGAAATCAACACGTTTTAAAAAGGCAAAAACGTGGCGGCAAGCTTAAATACTGACTTACATATAAAGAGATTTCTGTGGGGAAGGGGTTTACTTTTGGACGGCCGCCTGCACGGCAGTCGGCGTCGCATCCCACACAAGCCCGGGACGGACTGCATTGCCCCTCTTCAAGCAATAAACTGAGCAATGGCTTCTGTGGTGAACCCTCCCGTCCTGTTTTGTGTTATGAAATGCCACGTCGGGGCGTTATCCCGGACTTTCCAGGACACTCTCTGCGCCTGGTGGCTTGTCTGGATTCCCAGGCCCGCGTTCCCGAGACTGCCCAGCCTTTCCTCCTCCTAATTCATCTTGTCGTATTAACCGTCGTCTTGCACGGGGAGGTCTCTCGGCAGTTGGAAACCGGAAGTGTGGGCAAGAACCAGGAAGAGGAAGGTCCTTTCCGGTTGATGTGAGGCCGGAGAGAAGGGGCGTGAGCGAGGGTTTTTTTTCCCCTTGAAACAGCGGCGGGTTGTGGAGGCGATCGGAGTGGCGGACGAGATCCCACAAGCTGAGCTGGGTGTTCCCATGACAACGGCTGCTTCGCCTTCTGAGGATCTCGACGCTCCTGGAGACAGGGCTTTTAAGTCCCCGGCTGTTGCCATATATACACAGTATATATATGCCTTGCATGCGTAAAATCACGGATTGACTCTCCAGGTAGGGCCAAGGACTTCTGCCTAAAACCTTGGGAAACCGCTTCGAGTCATCCAAAGATCGCCATCAAGGGCGGCTGGTGCTGGTGGCGACACCTTTTTCCCCCCGGCATCAGAAGCACTGTTGGGTCCTGATAGCACTGGATGGGAGAACAACCGGGTGGAGGGCTGTTGCCCTCTTGTCCTGCTTAGGGGCTTCGTAGAACTGCATGGGTTCCCATTGTGGGAAAGAGGGTGCCTAGACAGGGTGGGATTTTGGTCTGATGTGTTACAGTTCTCCTTATGTTCTTAACAATCTACATAGGCCGGTATGTGACCTCGTGTAAAACAATTTTGTGTATTCCTATGATCTCTCCATAGCTTTACAGATGATGTGAGTGGATTCCAGAAACCAGATTCCTACAGTTTTCTGTACTTGAGTCTCATATAGGTCTGGCTTGTTTTGGCTTCAGGAATCTTCCGTTCCTGGAGTAAGACTATAGCGGGTGCTGCTCAAGTTGCAGAAATGTCATGTGTTTATTGTACAACAGAATAGCTAGGTCTTGCTGTTACAGGAGAGCCAGTATAGCGTACTGTAATGGGTATCGTTTTGGAACAGGACTCAGGAAACCTGGACGCTTGGCGGTGGAATCTCAGATTTGGCTAAGGAATCTCATTGATGGCTGGCTCTAGTAAAACCATCCCTTAAATCAGTGGTCCCCAACCTTGGGCCTCCAGATGTTCTTGGACTCCAACTCCCAGAAGCGTCCACCACCACCTCTTCCGGCCAGGATTTCTGGGAGTTGAAGTCCAAGAACATCTGGAGGCCCAAGGTTGAGGACTACTGCCTTAAATAACTCACATACTAGGGCTGTCATAATTCAGAACTGACTTGATGGCTCGTTAATATGTTTGAGTTATTGACAAGCTTTGTGTACTGCTTTTAACACGTTTTGGATGGGAAGGACCTTTCTGGATGGGGTTGACTGCCAAGCAAACCAGCAGCAACTAGTTGTTCCCTCTCTGCCTCAGATTTTGAAAAGAGCCACACTTCTCTACTTAAGAGTCTTTTTCCTGCTTTTTATCAGCCAGGGGTTAGTTAGCAATACAATCTGTCAGTAGTTAGTGTTCTGTCAGACATGTAGTGAGTCAGTCATGAAACCAATTAGTCAGTTTGTTTATTTATTTATTTATTTTATTCAGTCGTCAGTTAAGCTCTCTTCATGTAACCAGTCAATTACTTTTCTACAGTATGTTTTTGTTCTGCTCAGAAATGTGAATAAACTTTATTTTCTTTCTCTTACCAGTGTATCTGAGTGAGTTATTCAGATAGTAAGTGCTAGCTGATGAAAATAGACAACAAGGGGTTGTCTATTGGAGGGAGCTAATTCTGCTGTTTATTTCCCTGAACCTTTTTCCACTGTGTAATTAGAGGTTTTTAAGCATAAAGTTTCACATTCTCACAAGATAGAAGGTTGTTGCAGAATGTTGTTTATTCTGGCTGGTACTCCTAAGTATTCTAAGAGTGGTATAAATTATGTGTTGATGTTGTTTTGGCACAGTATCATAGTTCTCATGCCCTACTAAAACAAAGCCTATTTGTTTTGTTTTTTGTTTGTTTCACCTACCTCCTACTTTTCTTTCAAAGCAAATTAGGTAAAGGTTCCCCGTGACATTTAGTCCAGTCGTGTCCAACTCTAGGGCACGGTGCTCATCCCGGTTTCCAAGCCATAGAGCCAGCGTTTTGTCTGTAGACTGTTTCCATGGTCATGTGGCCAGCGCGACTAAACACCCAATGCCATTAGCTTACCACCGAGGTAGTACCTATTTATCTACTTGCATTTTTACATGCTTTTGAACCGCTAGGTTGTCAGCAGCTGGGACAAGCGATGGGAGCTCACTCCGTTGTGTGGATTCGATCTTACAACTGCTGGTCTTCTGACCTTGCAGTACAGAGGCTTCTGCGGTTTAACCCGCAGCGCCACCATGTCCCTACTTCTAAGCAAATTAGAAGTGCCTAAATATGTGATTATTCCCTGACCATCCTTGCATTCCTCTCTTTCTCCCATTGTGTCTTTTATATAGAAGTTTTCAAAATTGAAAACATCTCAAGACAGGGACCTGTCAATGTGCTAGTTGCAAAGCTCCACTGTAATCAAAATAATCTCTACATCGGGAGTGGGGGGGGGAGAGATTGAACAGAAAACTGAAGGAAAGAGTGGTATATTCTGTGAATGGAAGTAAGTTCCTCTTGGAGTAACTTCTTGTGGACTTTCTGTGATTACTCCAGAAATTCTTCAGCGGTCACTACTTCCTGGGAATTAAAGTATCTACAAGATGCCCTACCTTGGCTCAGAAGATACACTGAAGGAGCTGAAGAGAGCACTGTGTAATCCTCATGTACAAGCTGATCATCTCCGCTACAGGAATGTTATTCAGCGAGTGATCAGGTCTGTTGCCTGCCCTGCTTGCAGTTTAATATAATCTGTTAATTAATATAGTATTGAAGTGAGGCTCATGAAATGCCAGGCAATTTCACCAATCATAATTGCATTAATTATCTTTGAACTGTGCTTTGACATGTTAACTTTATCTTAGTATAGTTTGTTTATTTCTAGTCAAGACAAAGTCATTTTTTGTGAGATTTAGTGCTCAACTTATCACTTACTTCTGTTATGTGCATCCTCCACAGTATTAAACCTGTTTTTAATAGAAAGAAGGTTTTTAGTTATCACTTAGCTAACATTTTTTAAAAGGGGAAGTATATTCAGATTTCTTGAAATCTAAATGGAAATCTGTTTGTTCTGAGGGTGAAAATCTGGTCCTCTGAAGCAGTTTTCCACCCCACTAAATTCTTCTCAGTGCTTCCAGTTCCCCTTCATTATCACCATTTTCTCACAGATTAGTTTATATTGTTCATATATTATGTTTAAAAAAGAATATATGAAAACTATGCATAAAAGTCTCAAATTCTGTTCCAAGAATGGCTAAATACTGTGATTTGTGTTAGCTATATTTACATGGTATTTGCATTTTGGACAAATTAATATGTTTATTTTACCGTGTTTCCCTAAAAATAAGACAGGATTTTATATTAATTTTTGCTTTAAAAACCCACATTAGGGCTTATTTTCGGAGGATGTTCTATTGTTTTTTTCAAGAACAACAATCTACATTGATTCAATTACCATTATTTGTTTTATTTTTTATTTATTCCCGTTCTCCTTCCCCTTCTTTAAATGTACCTGGTGCCACTTAATCTAGGGGTGCCTCCAGCGCTGCCACGGTGGTGGCTCGGGTTCCTCCAGTGGCGATGCCTGGGCCGAGGCTCCCGTTGGGGCTGGCGGGGGCTGGGGTTGCTTTGTGGGAGGCAAC